CGGCTCAGGTCATGATCCTGGAGTCCCGGGATCGAGTCCCGCATCGGGCTCCCTGCTCAGCAGGGAGTCTGCTTCTCCCTCTAACCCTCCCCCCTCTCATGTGCTCTCTCTCTCTCTCTCTCTCATTCTCACTCTTTCAAAATAAATAAATAAATCTTTAAAAAAAATATTTTATTTGAGAGAGTGAGAGAGAGAACATGAGCAGGAGGAGGAGCAGAGGGAGAAGCAGACTTCCCACTGAGCAAGGCGCCCGATGTGGGGCTCGATCCCAAGACCCCGGGATCGTGACCTGAGCCGAAGGCGGATGCCCCGGTAGTTACATTTTAAATAGCTGCATACTTCTGGGTTATTTATCTTTTCTAATAGTGTGTATGATATGGAATGAATATTAACTTTATTATCCAATTTCTTTTTTCTTTTTAAAGATTTGATTTTATTATTTGACAGAGAGAGACACAGCGAGAGAGGGAACACAAGCAGGGGGAGTGGGAGAGGGAGAAGCAGGCTTCCCGCCGAGCAGGGAGCCCGATGTGGGGCTCGATCCCAAAACCCTGGGATCATGACCTGAGCCGAAGGCAGACGCTTAATGACTGAGCCACCCAGGTGCCCCTATTATCCAATTTCAATTCAGTAAATATTTATTTAGCTTCAGGTATGTGCTGGTGACTTCTAAATGATAAAAATGTCAAAGTGAACTAGATAACATGCTTTTGGTCTCGAATAGGGATATATACTGGAACAATCGGGTCTGGTCCTTGCTAGACTTGAGTAGCAGAAAGGCATCGTCCTTGCTGTGGGGAGAGATAGGGAAAGAACATCCCCAGTTGAATTTCTCTCTCAGCACACCCTCTTCCACCACGCATGTATAGGATGGGGGGGCGGTTCTTGGAATTACGTTATTATACTCAGCCTTTTATGAGGCTCCTAAAACTCAGAGATCACAGAAAACATTGCATTTGACAACCTGTTACAGTGCTTGCTAAAGTGTTTCAGAACTCAGAGGTATTGTACAAGTGTAGTTAATATAACAACATATCCAAATTAAGAGTAGTGGGACCAGCCATCTTGTCACCCAGAAATCTGAAAAAACTGAGTAAGTCTTGGGTTGGATAGAATTAAAGGGTGCTGAATCTAGGATATGGAGTGGGAGCAATCTGTAGATAGTCTTTAAAAATATTTAAAATTAGGAATAGGTCTGTTTAAACAATTTTAAGGCTTAAAAAGGATCAAACTTTCTGTTCCATGAAAGAAATGGAGGTTTAGAACCAGGCAATCCTCTTTGACATTAAGATGATCGACATGTCAGTTCAAGCCCTGGTTCACTCTGGGTTTTGGGGGGAGTTCCTGTGAAGAGGGTGGGTGGAAGGCAGAGGCACACAGGACACAGAGAAGGATGCTGAAGAGGCAAGACAGGTGCTTTTCTGTTGATCGAGAACGTGGGGGCAGAGCATTGTGAACGTGGGCCTGCTGGTTTCATATCGTGGGTGCTTCCCAGACACCAGCCTGTTCTTACGGTGCTGGGGTAGGAGATGTTGATAAAGGGATGGCTCACAGCTAGGGGTTCCTTTCCTTAAAGCAAATAAACAAACACAACGTATGCCTCCTAAAAGCCAGGCATTTCTCCTTTGGTTAGCGTTCTGGGGTTTTTATTAAACACTTTAGATTTTCTGATTTATTTCCCTTCAGTGTATCTTCATCCTTTGAACATAGGATGTAGCAGATCTTGGGGGCTTTTCCCCCACCCCCACCATGTGCTGCTCAGAATGTCATCAGGTGGGTTAGTGACAGGGACACACAGCTGTTCCCAGGTGATAAAGAGGAGAGGAGATTATGTCTTTGTTTTTATTTTACTTTCTTTGGTATGTGTGGGGCATGGTGCCAAGATCTTGCCTTTCATGCTGTATTTCTTTAGTTTCATGAAAAGTAATTTAATTTTTGTTCTAGAATGAATCCTAACTAATGTTTTTACTTTTGGCGGGTAGAAGAGATTGATTTTTTTGGTTCCTGTGTGTCTGGGCAGTGAGCACCCTAGAGGCAGGGGCTTTGTGTCCTGTCTCCTGCTTCTGCCAGAGCCTGATACTTAGCAATTACTCTGTAAATACATGTTTGGTGAGCCCGAGGGTGTGTGAATGCCCCAAGTACAGGCATGGCACTGCTGACCAAAGAGGCAGCAAAATGGGTATTTTTCAGCCCATTTCCTTCCCGGGATGGTTTTATATAGGTTAGTCTTTTTGCATATAAAGGCATTTCCCATATCTAACATTGATACAGCCCTTCCAAAACTTCAGTGACTCCTGTCCCCAAACGCCTTGTTAGTGATTGACAGTGATGGTCCTGCATAGAGCTGGCTGCCCCCATAGCCTATAGAAGACCCAGGGCTTGCCCTTGGCAATGACTACTCCTTTATGAAGAGGAATTCACATAGTATACAATTTACCCATTTAAAGTATACAATTCAGTGGATTTTAGTGTATTCATAGACTTATGCACCCATTATCACAACCAATTTTAGAATATTTTCATCACCCCAAAAGAAAACCTGTACTCATTAGCCATCACTACCTAATTTCTGTCTCACCCCTACTCCTAGGCAGCCACTAATCTCCTTTCTGTCTGTATAGATTTGCCTGTTCTGGACAGGTCCGATAAATGGAATTATACAAAATGTGGTTCTTTGTAACTGGCTTCTTTCACTTAGCATCAGGTTTTCAAGGTTCATCCATGTTGTAGTATGAATCAGTATTTTGTTCTTTTTTATGGCTGAGTAATATTCTGCTGTATACCATATTTTTCTATCCATTTCTTAGTTAATGGACACTTGGTTTGTTTCCACTTTTAGGCTATCCTGAGTAATGTTGCTACGAACATTTGTATCCTAGCTGAGGATTTATTTTTATATTTTCACTTTATGACTTTGGACTGACACAAGTACCAGTACACAGTTTTAACTCCTTTTAGAATCCAAAAACATATGACAGTAGAAATCCATGGAGCACACATCATGTAGCAGAACAGACTGAAACATGCATGTTTATCATTTCCATTATGATGATGTGATTGGCTAAAACAATGCAAAAATCTGAACCTATGTAAATTTAGCCTAATTCTTCCACTTGTGGGTATTTACTCCATGCTAGTCACTGGACTAGGTAATGATAGAATGGACAGGGTCTGTACTCTCAAAGTGTTTCTGTCCAGTGTCTCTGAGGATTGGGAGGGTGGCCATGGGGTGTGTACAAGGGAATCCAGGATGTGGGACAACATGGTGCCCTCTGCTGGGGGTGCACTGGGCACCATCAGAGCTCCAGAGAACCCAAAATGGACTTAAGGTAGGATGGTAGGGAGGTCAGGGAAGCTTCCAGAAGGAAGTTCGCCACTGGGCTGGGATCTAAAGGAGGAGTGGATGTAGATAAGAGAAGGGAGGGTGGAGAGGGGGAGGGGGAGGGGAAGAGAGCGTTCCTAAGTAGAAGGCTTCAGCGTGTTCTATGCGTCACGTGCTCTGGAGTTGAAAGTAAGGTTCAAGGTGAGGTGTGGTGGGAAATGAGGATGAAAAGAGCAGAGGGAGGCCTGGTACCCTTGAGAGCTGCACCAGATGGTTTGGACTCGGGCCCAAGAGCTGGGAAGGGAGCCACATGAGCAGGTCTGCATTTTGGCCACTGCAGGGGCGGCGGCGGGGGGCGGGGGGTACACGGAGCCAACGGTGGTGTTACTTCCCCTGCAGCGGGAGAACAGGTTACCTGCTGTGGGGTTCAGTGGGAGTTTTGAGGATGTTGGGTGGTGGCCAGGAAGAGTCACTGTGGAGAACGAGGTGAGCAGGTGAGTTAGAGAAGCAGTTGTGGGCTCTTGGAAGAAGCGAACTATTTTAAGTCTGCATTGTCAGACACTGCGGAGGGATGTGCCCCCAGGGATGTGGTGAAACACGACACTTGCATAGTTGTGCTTCAGGATGTCCCTTGCCTCAACTGAACTGTACTGAACTGAGTTACCTTAATTGAACTGCAAATGCCAATAAAAATAGAGAACAAAAGTTGCCCAAATGGGCAGTGGATGTGGTTGATGGTGTGTCGGTCCTCATGATCATTATAGCCCACAGCCGGCAGCCCCCCAGAGGATTTCACAGAGTTGCCCTTTATACTTTGAAACGGAAAGCCTAGTAGAGAAGCTAATTATTTCCCTGCTTCCAGGATTTGAAGGAACTGGGGTTGGTGGTGGGGGATGGGGGCAAGAAGATCTACTGGAGCTGTTAATTTACAGCTATTGGGAGGCTACAGTATCTCTGATCCTAGAGTCAGAGGGGAATTAAACACAGAGCCGGGCCCGGCAGGATAAGGGAAGCAACCTCCCTCCTACGGTGGTTTTGGGAACCTCGGGAGACATGCGCCTGCAAGCTTTGCTCAGTGAGGAGCTGGGCTGGAAGAGCTAGGAAGCTGGCCTGGGGGCAGAGAGCTAGAGGTGGTCTTCCTGCCCCAGCAAGGTGCCACTAGAGGTGTGATGCCCCGGGCCTGGCCGCGGGTCCGGCCTGGCTGTCTGCATGTGGCACACACGAGGGGGGGGCGCCCAGGCAGGCTGCATGGCCGTAGTCCTTAGTTCATGCTTGTTAAACTCCCCTTTGATGAGGGGGCCCTCCTGGCGGTTGAGAGTAGAATTGATCTCACTTTCTGACCACCTCTGTATGTGTGTTTGTTGCTACAGCTGAGAAACAGCAGGTAATGGCCTCAGGCCACTAGATAGTTTTATTGCTAGGAAAGGCCTCCGCTGTGGGCCGGGTGGTGGTCTGAGAGACCAGTTAGCAGGCCCGCATTCAGCCAGGCTTGGCGACGGGGCTGGCCCTTGGGGGAAGGACATCACGGGCCGGGGATTTCACCACACATGCAGATGTCAGAACAACCCAGATCAATTTGGCCCCCTCCTGGAGAACGGAGCCATGCTTACCGGCTGAGCACCTGACTTCCATTTCCTTTTCTCTGAGCGGTGACTCGTGGCTGTTATTCTTTGTCCAGGTATGTACCCTTTAGCTGCGGCAACCCAGGAGGCTGAGAGCAGCCGGAAGCTGACTCACTTGCTGAACGCAGTGACCGACGCTCTGGTCTGGGTGATTGCCAAGAGCGGGATTCCCTCCCAGCAGCAGCCCGTGCGCCTGGCTAACCTCCTGATGCTCCTTTCTCACGTTAGACATGCCAGGTACAATCCCTGCGGGGGCCGCTCCTCTGGATGTGTAGGGTGGGCCGTGGGGGGTGCATGTGCCCTGCGAAGGCCAAAGTGCTCTGGGGAAAGTGTTTGCAAGTTTGAGAGTGATAAGGTAGCATTTTTACCTCTAAAGGAAAATAAACCCCTGAAAGGGAATGGGGTTTCTTCATCAGGGCATGCACCTGTGGCCAAAGATCAGCGTAGTGGGCACTGAATGGATGTCATGTGCCGTCGTATAGGATATTTATGGCATTCCTCATCTGTTTTTTAGTTGCTGGGGTTTGGGCTTGTTTATGGAATTCTAAAAGGGGCCTTTTCTCCCCTAATGTGAATGGCCACCGCTCCTTGCCCCACCAACCACTCTGAGGTCATTTTCTTGAGGAGGCTAAACTCAGCTTCTCTAGATCAACTCCTGAGGCTAGTGATCTGCAGACGTACACAAAGCCTGCCCCAGGAGTGGGTCCTTTCTTGGGATAGCATCAGGACATTAGGAATGAGACCTGAGAAAACCGGGGAGGCCCACAGGTGTCGCACGACAGCTCTGTGCTGGTATAGAGATGCTCGGTGCTTGGTGGCTCCCAGGATGAGGGTAGCCCTGCCCTGGGGCTGGCAGAGGGGAGGGAGGATGGAAAGTAATTGCTACCCAAGGAAGAGGAAAGTCTAGAGGCTGTGGGGGACAGTGTTCACCTCAGGAATTATAACAAGGAGGAAGAAAATAGCCTCTGCTTTGTTTCCTCCTGAATGATTATTGACACACAACCATTTGCAGAACAGGTTCAGTCCACTCTCATTAGTCACAGAGTCTGTATTTGCAAATTTGACTACCTTTTTTTTTTTTTTAAAATTTTTATTTACTTGGCCGAGAGAGAGAGAGAGAGCACAAGCAGGGAGAGTGGCAGAGGGAGAGGGAGAAGCAGACTCCTGCTGAGCAGGGAGCCTGATGTGGGGCTCGATTCCAGGACCCTGAGATCATGACCTGAGCCGAAGGCAGACGCTTAACCAACTGAGCCACCCAGGTGCCCTGCAAATTTGACTACTTTTAAAAAACTTATTTGTAAACCCTGGATTCATACTTAGTGGCATTTCTGTGGTCCTTCAAGGACAGGCTCAGGGTGGCAAAAAATTTGAGTTGCCACACTTACATTCCCAACTGAGTCAAGTAAGGAGACACTTGTGTTGTTTCGGCTCTCATACTATAAAGAAATGTCCTTTGTGTGGTCTAGTTAGGGCCATGTTTTGCATTTTTGTGCTTTTTGTTGGCGAGTTCACTGTCTATGAATGGCCCCCAAGCATAGTGCTGAATAAAGTGCTGTCAGTGTTCCTAAGAGCAAGCAGGCTGTGATGTGCCTTACGGAGAAAGTATGCGTGTCGGGTTAGCTTTGTTCATGCGTGAGCTGCGCTAGCATCGGCTGTGAGTTAAATGTTAATGAAGCAACAATTTATGTTAAATAAGGTGTCTTTAAACAAAAACACAGGTACGCCAAGGTTATGTATTAACTGGATTATGAAAATGTGAACAGAGCCCCTCAGGAATCTAACGCTGCATTTCCCCCAGAAGCAATGTATTTGCTAATTCAGTGTTGGCGGTGACTTTGTAGAACACAACTACTATGCACAATGAGAATTAACTGCACTCTGCCAGGTGCTGTCGGGCCACTGTGGGTGGGTGATGAGACACTAAGGTGCTTGCTTGCCCTTAAGTGGAGGTGACCGAAGGAGCCAGATGCAAGAACCCTAGAAGAAATGGCTGGGGCAAGTTCAGGGGGTGGAGGGTAGACTGGCTTTATTGGGGAGAGTTGGAGAAGATTTTAGAGTTCCCATGGCTGCCTCCCAGGAAGGACTCTCGGCATCTTTTTGTCCCCATAGTAACAAGGGCATGGAACACCTGCTTAACATGAAATGCAAGAACGTGGTCCCAGTCTACGACCTGCTGCTGGAGATGCTGAATGCGCACACGCTTCGCGGGCACAAGTCCTCGCTCACCGGGGCCGAGTGCAGCCCAGCAGAGGAGAGTAAGCGCAGGGAGGGCTCCCAGAAGCCCCCGTCTCAGTGATGCCCAGTCCCAGGCGAAGAGGCCACAGAGGAGGTCAGAGGCTGCAGTGTGAACTCCAGTGCAAACCGTGAGCTCCATCCGGGAGTGGACAGCCTTCACCGTCTTGCTCGTGTGTGGTCCCTCATTTGGTTATGGCAGGCCCAGTCATGTACCGTCCTTCACCCGACCTCCCCACTTCCCGGGAGTCAGGGTGAGAAAGCTGCAGTGTTCCTTGGTACCATGGGGCATGTTCGAATGTGGACTTTACCTCTTACTCGGCCTCATAGGATCTTAGTGTGGTCCCTTTCTTACTTCCCATCTCCCTTCCACCCCTCTGGAAAACATGTTAAAGGTTTGGGAATGAATGGTGGGAATCCGCTGTGGAAGGTTTGTACAGTAGAGAGGGAAGAGGCTGGGGCCCTTATAGGAAGTGGACCAAGCTTTACTGTGCAACCTAACCTGCCCTCAGACCTCCGTTTGCTCTCTTCAGGGCCACTTGATGGTAGGCTGGGAAACCATGACAACGAACAAACTAGTTCCACACACCTACCTCACAGGCCTGTGAGGACTGAGGTCGCGTATCGCTCTTACTGTTGAAGGCCAGAGGGATTGTGACCTGGGGAGCCAGTGGTCAGGCTGGGAGGTGAGCCATGCCCTTCCCCCAGACCTTGTTGCCATCTCCATAGAGGTTCATTCTTCTTGATTTGCATTCTATAGAGCCTGCTGATTATTTGGGGGTGCATTTATGTTTGTGATCACTTTTATGGAGGATTGTGGAGATTTAAATCTCTCTGCCCCTTCCTTAAAACCCTCTTGTCCCACAGAGCCCAGTGTGTGCTGGAGAAAGGCCCAGTGTTTGCAGGAATGGGTTTCTCCTGTGGGTTTGGGTCACAGCCATGTTGCTTCCCTGGGGCAGTCAGGGAACCAACCGCCACATCAGCCATCCACAGACAGGGGCACGTCAGGCTGTGTGTTCAATGCATGCTGTTCCTTGGAAAGATGAAGGGCTACTGACACACCTGTGTGTCAGGTTCAGGGTCAGACTTGGTGTAGTGTAGACTTGGTGAGCATATCACCTGAGCAAGACCTGGTTTGTGAACCCTACTTAAAAAAAAAAAAAAATTTAGACATAGTTATTTATAGCAAGAAAGAATTCTTTTACACCCTTGGGCTCTTTTAAACTATTTTCTTATCAGAACATTTATATGGCGAGCTGGGTGAAATAGAAACTTTGTAGAAGAATATTTGTTCCTCTTCCAAGTGGAACATAAATAGGACAAGATGATAAAGCACCTCTGGAATTACAATTTTAACTCACTTTTAAAAAATTGAAATCTTCAGGAACATAGTGAATGCATGAAATGACTTACATCTATACCTTGGCAGTGAGCAGTTCAACAGTCGTGCTTGATTTTTGTGATGATTTAAAAAATTACCTTGTGATAGATTAAACTCCTGTTTTAGAAAATGGGTTTACTTTGGCTAGCACATTCACTATTTACTAAGTCATCAGGAAGAATAAATTCGATGGTTTCTGCTAGGGAGTCCTTGAATAATTTTTTTTTTTTTTTTTAAATAGAATACCCGTGTTTTTTTTTTTTTAAAGATTTTATTTATTTGAGAGAGAGAATGAGATAGAGCATGGGGGGGGGGG